CACTACACGTGTCAGCAAAGGCTATCATAAGATGACTGGGTGTAACGCTGCAAGATATACTAATACCCTAGATAAATGGTCGTGCAACGAGTGGAGCGTTAACGGCTAAGTTTACGAGGCGTTCGAAGTTACCACTTCAGCTTTGGCCGAAGAAAAAACTACAAAGGTAAGAAAAAAAAAACCTTTTTGATGCCGATCTTCTCTTTAGTCTATCAGTTAGGGATTTGACCCAGGGTGCAAAAAATCAGCAAGAAAGCTATCCGGTTTGGTCATCCGCAATTCTCACATTTGTAGTGATTGTGTTAGCCTTAATGATCACTAGCGGGAGTTGACGAATACCAGATGCTTTGATTTTTTCGGCTGTGCAAGTTCCATATAGATTTTGTCGAAATGTAACTTGGAGCCAATAGTTCAAAAAGGTATGATTCATATTGAGGCAAGACAAGAATTGAATATCATAAAAGAAATGAACGCTTTCTTTGATTGGTAGAGATATTTTGTATCTACTGGCTTGCTGTCGATATACTGAAAAACTGGGTAAACTCGTCATTGAAAATCTTCTTTGCCTCACAACCTAACCTGATTTTCTAAGGAGCCCTTGCTGCTTTCTACTGTTAGTTGCCGTGGCAACTCGTTCTACTCTTAGTCCAAAAGGGCAAAAATTGTCTAAAAGTTTAAAGCGCATCAGTTACTGCCACAGCGCTATCGGCATTGCCTGTGTTTTGCAAAAACTAGTCAAATGAAGCTTCCGGGAAATTATCTGTAATATTGTTTTGTTACTTCGAACACCATTTTTGAGCGGAAGCTAGTCCTGAGACGTGGAGGTCAGACATGCTCAGATATATCAGCTGAAAAAAGCAATGCTTAGGACTTGACAAAGATAACTAGAAGCTTTTTGCGATCCCAGGAGTCTCGACGACAGAGTTTTGTTAGTATCAAACTAGCTTTAGGGATTAACGAACTTTTCTTCATTCCTGGTTATTTTGATGACATAACCTACTAATGGTGCGAATTAGCTACGGTCTTAGTGTAAGGAAGAGAAATCCGTGCATCCTCTGTATTTCGAAAATTCCTTATGATTTTTACGCTTCTTGATTTTCAGGGATGCAACATGGCATTTTGTTTTACCAAAACATAATTAAAAATAGAAAAAGACAAACCTGGCCTCAAGAAAGCTTCCGTGACGCTAATATCCTACCGGTTGCGGCATAAGAGAAATTCGAATGCTGAAGACACAGCGTTATATGTACCCTCAATGACACATCACGTTATGTTTACCCTTACGCGTTGTACATTTCACTCGTTCATGACGACACCTATTTATGAAATGGTCATTCTCAAGACACCTCAGACGAGCACTTCTCCGCTTCTTCACACCGTTTTCTCTTGCTTAGGAATGTGAAGGTCATGCAAGGAAGAGATTTGCCCTCCTTGTATCTATATGAAACGGATAATTGTGTCAATTATCTACTATCTCGATCTGGCTATTTTTTTTTTCTAATTGATCTGATATCGCCCGTTAATGAGTTGATCTAGTTGCCATAAACGTTCATGGTTCTTGTTTCTACTAATGATAAAATTGCCTCTTGATTAATCGATTTTGTTGTTGATTTTTATTTCGGCCATCTTGTTCGTTCAGCAGCGCCTCTAGAATAAGAAACGCGACAGATAAGGCGTCTATCAGCTGCCTAGAAATACGAATGTTTACACGTTTCCACCTGTGGTAGAGGCCAAATTATTTAGTCTATGAGTTGCACTGCCATTATTACTAATTGTGATTGAGAAGTTGAGCATCTGCTGTTGTGTTAAATAAATAACCTATCCCGGGTACACCAGTTGTTTTTCAATATAATGAGAATGTCGAAGGGCGATGGAATATAGGCTACTGAACACCGGCTGATCCAAAGCTTAGCCACTGTTATTTTATTTTTTTTTGATCCAAATAATTGAGATGGGTATATACGTCACAAGACGATTATGATTCCCCCCCTCCCCTATTTATTCTAACTGTAAGCCTACGTTTCCGAGAGAGAGCTATCTCGAGCAGTACTTGAGTTACATATGTAATATTTCAATTACTTTAGACTTACGTTTCACCCGACAGAAAGCTTATTCTTCCAACATCTTGTATATCCTATAATCCAGTTACGGTGGTTTGACTAATACCTATGAACTATTATTTACTATTTTCAACTCAAAACTTCTAACTTGCGATGAACTTGTGCGTTTTTGAAAATATTGCGGATATTTCATACTGGACCGCCACAGCAACGGGGTGCAGGACAATTGACTTGAGGTCACTTAAGGCCTCGACTTGATCCCTGGCGATAACAAAGTACTACCGTTATTATAGTCATTAGATAAGCGAACAGTTACGTTTTACGAGGTAAAATATAATCACGTTTTTACCTGTCGTATATTCGAAACGGTCCCTACTGTGCTATGGGTTCTTAATCAAGGCAAACATACTGAGGTAATCTAAGTCTGTACAAGAGTAACAGACACGTTTTCAAAGTAAAAAGCTTCGTGGAAAAATGATCAAATTGGTTCATTATGTTTTATACTCAAGAGTTCTGGCTTATAAAGGCAGGATCCAAAAAAGCATTTGACCAAAATTCGATGTTATATTTAAAAATCATTAGACCTAGGAGGTGCGTTGGCTGGCCATTGCGATCACCCGACCTAACGAGTTTGTCTTTTAGAAACAAGAGAGGAGTTTTGCCTTCAAAAGAGAAAACTGGATACTTTTCTAGTTTCTTTCTTGGTGAGCTAAACTTTATTATTCAGTTTATTGGTTATTTTCACTCAGTTGTTAATCAATGCTAAATGGACGGGATACATTTTTCTACACGCGCATTTTCTCACTTCCATTATCTTCACAGCCTCCTATTTCTGTAAATAAATTCAGGCTTGCCAAATAACTTCCATAAAGTTTAGCTTTCGATGATTATCGGTGCTCTATGGTTCCATTAAAGAAAATGTTTTAATTACTGAGCCTTATTGATTTCGAGTTTAGAAGCGTTTTGTGAAAAAGGTTTCCTTCCGTTGTCAGCCTTTGATAGCCGTTTTGGAAATGCAGCAATTGGGACATCTATTGAGAGGGAAGAGATGGCTTGAAGTGTAGTCTTTTTCGTATCACAGAATCCTAATTAAGTCATATGTCATTCTTATTCTGTCATAATATTATTTAGCATCTGGGACATTATTATGAAAAATCACCCAGTAATTAGTTGAAGTACAAAGGCAATAGTTTACCCCTAACTAGTTTTGTTGCCCCTAATATCATACTAGTTCAAGTCGAAGTGAGGCATCGTCCATGCAATGTCGGGTTCGCAGGAATGGCTACTTCGACATTTACCTTGATAGTTTTCTTTTAGGCCTCGAGTGCACACCAGTCATTAGCAAGGCACTTAGTTATCAGTATAGTTCTAGTTAGGTAAAACGGTTATAGATCCTAGCATGTTGTATCCTTTGTCATTAGCTGTAATAGTTAATAGGAAAAGGCGCACGAAGTCACACTTAATTGGGCCTACTATTTTATTAAGGTTAGACAAAACACTATAGTTTTCATTGCAGTTTGTTATTTTTAAAAGATATAATAACATGAACCTGTAAAAAAAAAAGCCTGTTCTTTTCGAAGAAATCGGTGAACCGCACTCAGAAAGCTTCCAATTTATTTGTTCCACCATCCGCTTGTTTGGGCAACGCCTGAATACCGAAAGCTCTTGAATGAGTGAGACCAGACCGTTAGCGTGTCCTCGTAATAGCTTAAAAAGTATAGTATTTGCTTTCTAATCTTACGAACAAGTTATGGTCTAGTTTCGAATTCCGGCATAGATACATTTGAATTCCTGCTGGAAGCCAGCCATATGTCTGATCGAATGGCCAACGACAATGCCGGACATAAAACTCGAGACATAAAAAAAAGCCTTGTGGCTTTGAATGACTGATACTTTTTTTTATAGTGTTCAATTTCGTAAGGAGATAAACAAGCGATAAAATAGTTCTCAGCAGTAAGCAACCATGTACTTCCGTAACATAAATATTTGGATTCGAAAATAAATAAATACAGAGACTCTTATAGCTCAGTTAATTCTATTCTGAACGGCCAGGAAAAATGGCATTTGCGCCGTTCAATAGTATTCATAGTAAGAAAGTTAGTTTATATAGACTGATTTAAAAAGTACGTATATTCTAGAAATTATGGAGGACTCAAGTGAGCACTGGTTACCAGTTCTTTTTTGTCTGTTGACAGTCACTATTTTCACACAATTGTCCATGAGGCACAAGCGTGAAGGCAAAAGTGTGTAAAAGTTAACGTCCAAATCACGCTTGCCCTCATAAGGTCAATAACGGCAGTACCAACAGAATTCCAACCTGGTTCTTGAAAGTGGCACTTGTTTCAATGCAACTTCAATCCTAGGGGCATCTGAAACTAGGTTCTTATAAGAAAATGATCTTGTTTACAAGACAAATATAGAAGTCGATCACCAAAAACGAGAACGCTTAGATTTTCAGATACACACATTTCTAACGAAAAATCTTGAAGGGCACAAATGACGCCGGGAACACATTATTCCATCATCCGACTGAATACTGGGACGCCCAACAAGTACTTCTATACAATATATATTAGTTAGCGATAGTATGTTGTCACCTCTAGCGTCATTTGGTATTAACGAAATAAAGCAGCTGACGTTAACGAGCGCATTATGCAATATTCATGCAATACTATCAGATCGTGTATGACGGCGTCGACAACGTAGGTATTATATTGCGTACCTAACAATCCAGGACAGATGGCTCTAGTTGAAACCTCTTATATCACGTGCTTGTTGAACCGTGGCTGTGCAGGCGTTCTCTCTCCTTCCTGTAGACCCACTGGCCCTCGCCTCCAAGCGACCCTTTCCATGCGGCCACCTGTAGGCCGAAGGTTTTTCGGGGGAAACAGCCTCGGACTGAGCTGTTGCAATAGTTGCTCTTAACAACTCAGTCGATCCGGAGTCGTACGACAGGAAAGTCGGATCCGGTCAGTCATAATACGCTGCGAGAGTTGCCCCAGCATCGCACATTTGCTGGTGCAACTAGTATAGCTAAAATAGCCGTGTGACAACATAGTAGTGTGAAAAGCTGATTGCACCTTGTATCCTAACAGTTTACTTAGCAGCAATTTGCAGCCAAACGTATCAATAAATCCATACACTTACCGAAAAACAAAAGCGACAAGCCCTACTCATACAATAATGGGACCGTTTATCTACGTCCTGGGTCATGCTCGAAGGCGTCGGCGACAGACAAGCGGCGCCTTGCCAACAATTCTCGCACTGTTGTGGTTCGCTCTTGTGGTGTCATATCTCGTGTACGGTGTGGCAGCTGTGTCGGACGCGTCAGCTAGGTATAACCTCCGCAGGCCGATAGCACGGCAACTTGGAACGGCGGTGATGATTCCGCTAAGCAAAAGGCACGCGAGACGTCGTGATGCGACGATGACAAAAGACAGCGCCCATGAATCGGTGGCCAGCGCCATTGAACTGGATAACGATAATGAAACCGCGGCTGGCGATGCAGGCGTTGACGAAGACGAGGAATATGTCGAACCCACGGACTACAGTAAAACTAATGATCCGGAGGATGTGAAACTTCCACCGAGAATTGGAATGGTATGTTAACGATAGGATAAATGGTGTTCCGCACGAAAACATTGGGGTGTGAACTCTTTGATGAATTGGTGGATAATTTCCATAATGGAGAACGGCCGTAAGAAGCAGTCACCTGTGCAACTTAGTAATAATTTCATTTTAGTGCTATTTGATATTAATGGAGAAGGACAGGTGGTGGACATAACATATATTTCTCGTTTGTTAGAGTCCTCACGTTCGACTTGCTCATTCGAAAATGCTCGATATCAGTTTCATATACAGGCGGACGTCAGACGGCCGACTGCTATTGGAGTCAGCATGCACATAAGGTCTATTCTAATCTGGAAGGAAATATTTACCCATATTTAACTACTGTGCCTTAATATTTAATCGAGTGCAGGTAGCTACTTCAACAGTTCTACTATGCAACTACCTAATTGGTGAAGTGAAAAGATTCTGTGAATGAAAAACAAATACTTCAAATAGAGATCTTTGCCATTTTTTTTTCTTTCCATTCAATCTTTCTTCTTATCGATAAATTCAAATTTAGGACAAAAATCAATACACTAGGCGATGACTTGTCTATCATATAGCGGTATTATCATATTCAAATATGGAGCTGATTATCACAGCTTTCAAGAGCTCTTACTGTTTTTCACTCACCGGTTTTTTTTTTGCGTAATGGTTGCCGTTTCAGCCGATGTGGACATATTCCTAATTAGTCCGAGGAACGTTGAATAATTGTTTGAAAAGTAGAATCGTCCTCAACGCCCACTGTAGTCTTGGGCAGCTTACTGCTGGGTAAAGTTAACCTCAAATGCCGGTGGGGTCCGAGACGCGCGGATCTGTCACGGCACACTAATGCTATCATCACTATTGGAGCATTTAAAACGTATTTTTCTCCGTGAAACGATCCAGATACCCTAGCTAAGTTGCCTGAAGCCCATTGTTTGTACGTCTGTACGTGTTTCTACATGATAATTTCGGTCTGTAGCATAACAATATAGCTCATGTTGCCATAGCAACGCAACTTTTTATTTTTTTTTCCCTCTTTTGTCTCTTTATACGTTTGACCAAGCGAAATGTTTGTTGATAGAATTAAGTTTCAACCTGACACACAAAAGTCAACCGGTTCCGTCAGTGTACTGATACTGCAAAAAGAAGGAAACAATATTGAAATTGAACGTCCAAAAGAGTTTTCTTTTACCTTTCGATGGAAAAAGTTCGATAGAGAAGTAATGTGCGACATGCTAAGCAGAAAATCTATCCGCAAGTTACCTATCTTAGCTAACTCTACAAAGCTGTACACCTAGACATGTGAGGCGTCTATACAATCATTCTTAGAAGTTTTCATGATGTGTTCACCTTGGCAAACAAACAAACAAACAAACAAACAAACAATTATGATCACAATAGCTATATCTAGTAGCCTTTAATGGAACCGTTAACACAGGCGGCATTAAATATAAACATTCAAATAATTTGCCACTAACTAATTACTGGCGACCTTATTGTATACGAGCTATGAATAGGTAGTCACCGTGCGGAGGTGCATCAAAGCACACGCGCCTGTCAGCAGAGAAAACTACCGAGCTCATCGCCAATGAGAATATACTGAATAATACTTTGCAGATTTTTCTACCAACGGACTCAGTTTGCTCACGATACTTATAGACACACTTATAAACACACGATATTTATAGACAATTCAATGCTTGATAAACACTGTATACTGTTGTTTATTAGCACAGAGATAGAGAGAGAGATGATGATTGATCTAGTCTAATTGGCGCTAAATCGAAAAATGGTATTGCAAATTCCTACGCTTAAATGTTTGCATTGTGAATTTTCGCTTCGGTAGAACCCCTGCGTTTTTATCTACCTAATTAAAATAGAGCTAATTAATTATATTTTTTTACCGTATCCGAGCACGGTTTGCTTAGCTTCGGTATTATGTCTGCCTGTGTACGACAATAAACGTTACCGTGTCAACTTCTGCGTCGTTTCCTAATTTTGAATAAAAGCTTTTTTGTCTGAGCGCCAAAACATTGTATGGCTTTCAAGCTATACACTTTAGCCAAAAAATATAGGTCATAATTCACCAACATTTCGAGAAAGGCCGATTCAGCAACAGGGGTTACGAAGGTGCGGGTTACGCATAAAATCAAAGACAAAGTTCACTAGGTCATGTGTATCTTAGCTTTGAAATGCACAAAACATTATAGATCGGCATTTAGTTTGTTTGTACACTTAACTCATTCCGGAAAGTTGCTCACTTCCTGATTTAAGAACGTGACGTTTTGCCGAAATCCGTACGCTAGTGATTGGACGTGAAGGCTGGTATTAGCGCTCAAATGAGCTCAGCGTTTCAGCCAATATGCGGCTGCCCTCAGCCGTCGACCGATGGACTTATCCATATGCAATATTGAACCAATCGGCGTCAAACAGAAAACGAGTTTGTCAATGAAAACAGCTTACGGGCTCTATATATATATATATATATATATATATATATATATATATATATATATATATATATGTATAAACGAACTGTTCCAACTCGCGGACATCACTGCAGCAAATACCCATTGACTCTATTGTACTACGTTCATGGGGTCACTGTAAATACCGAAAACATTGGTAGAAAAATAAACTAATCACAGCTTCAGTCGCTCTCCTAATATCAACCAACAGCATAGGCGTGTTCTAAAGAGAGGAACGGCATGGGAATTTACTGTCGTCGTTGCTTTTCGATACTCCAGATATCTAATATTAGTAAAACTTCAAATTCGTTCAAGCAGATTCGAAATATGCTGCCTAGCGCCAAAATCGCAAATGCTGCTAGGTATCGGGGCAACGACCAAAAGAGTTAAAAGGTCAAAGACAGGGAGACGGTCATTTCTTGGCGTTCCTGGCTTAACGTTACCTGTATAGAGGAAACATGTGAGAAGAGTATATGGCGAACGCTGACAGAGCGCAGTATACGTTGATCTGATCATACCTACCGCAGAGGTTTGGCGCAACCCTTTGTGTTTTGTTTTCTTTTGAAAGGGAACACTTGGCAGTGAATTGAACGTCAATTAAGCTTTGCGAAGAACCCTTGCAATTCAAAGATGGGTCTCTTGACTAACCGGGCAAGACAAAACAATAAATTTATACATTTAAACATTAAGGGTTCATATATATATCTTGAGATTACGGGATGTCCGGGGTGATAAACGGCACCACATACAAGATTTAGTCACTCTCACTCGTAAACAACCCAAGCTTATATAGCTGTTCATCTTTTCTCACTTGTATCACACGTGCAAGCCAAAAACTAGCCACCTATGGAGCTATGTGGCTTAAATGGAGGCTCTGAATCCAGGAGCTGTTCCATACGCCCGATGCACTTACTTTGTTAGTTACTGCAGCTGTTGATGTTGTTCCACGACAGTCTTTTTTGTGCAGCTTTCCACTGTTCTATTTCAGTAAACGCACCGTTTTTTTTTTTTCGAGTTGTTCCAAATTGTTTCAATTCCAATTCCAATTATCTCGTGTAAGGCTGTAAAGTACTAATGCAAGCATTTCGCTCTCCTAAAGTCAAACCGGTCTGAGCTTGCAGTTTTTTTTCTTGCAGTATTATGTACAGCGCTCGAAAGGCTACGCAGTGCTTATGTTAAGATGTTTCACATATGTACTGTCTGTTTCGATAACGCAAGCTCATAGGTAACAAATAACACGAACATTAACAGTGTTTTCAAAAGCATCGACATATATAAACACAAGTTCACGGTAGAGATTTATCTCATGAAAATGTTTTTTTTTTCTTAGTTTATTCTATAACTATTTAATTCCACGTAACTGCCATTCGACTCGATGATTCCTTGTTCAGCTGCCGGTCCAAAGAATAAACAAGCTCCTGCCAAAACTCGCTAACTAAATAAATATGTGCCAGTGACTCACCTTTTATTGATCAGAGCCTGGCTCAGTAAAACCCCCTCGAAAAAACTGAAGAGCAAATATTTAGCCGTTAGGAGCGCTTGCCCCAAAATAGGCCTCATTCATCAGAAAGCTACTTCTATACGAAAAGTTTTTTTCTGATCGGATGCGCCGTTTAGACGAAAGGCATATAACTCTACGCATTGATCCGAACGTTTCAACTTTTCGAAGGGTGTGACCGTATGACGTCGCTTTGGCAAGGCCTCAAAAGGTCACTTGCGATATAAACTATGGCAGGACGTCTCATTTTAGCCAAGATCAGAATACTCGGGGTCGCGGACAAGCCAGCAGTTGTGTTTCAAATCAAGTTATGCATTGATAATAGAGTTTTTTTTTTCGTCCGGGACAGCCAGCTGCTCCGTGCTTAAAAAAAGGATGAGTAGCAAATGACAACATCGAAACGTTTTCGATTTAGCATTCCCAGAGAGCATCTTTGATTTCGAACTTTCGTAGTAGAAAATCGTCGTGAACTGACCTACGAGCTGATTGCTACGTAAGCGCTAAACAGGGGACCAGAATTATGCAAAAGGTATACCTTCATGACAAGCTTTAAGTCTATTTAGTCGCAACGTTTCAACGCTGGTTCGTGGAAAGCTATCTGCAATAGATTAGTAACTGAATACGTCATCGGCTGTGTGTAAACAACGAGGCCTACAGTCGACGAGTTAAGCCGAAGTCTTCGATTATGGCTGTTCGCTCGTTGCCTTCAGAACTTGACATAACCGTACTGATCTCATGTAGTCGATGAAACAAGCGGTTAGGTCTACTATTATATGGCGAAAGTTTCGATTGAATCGGTTTTAGCATGTGCGCCTTTTCTGTACATATTGTTCGTTCAAAAGTATAACATACATATATATCTGTATATTTTCGGGCCCTTATTTTGCTCGCGTCATTTGGTGGCTTTAAGGACCACGTACATAGAAAGCTTCTGTGTAAAATGGACGACCTTAACAAACCCACTGGTAAACCAACTCGAGTAGATCAGTTTTTTTAGACGAACCGTGCTCAGTAGAGCCAAAGAGCTCGCAAAAATCGCC